ACATCCCAGTCATTTGTAATCCTCACATCACGACTCATGATGCAAACTAAAGCCTTTCTGCCCTGCAGCAGGTCACATGCCTCCTTTATCCCCTGAGGAATTCTGGGTAATAAGAGCTTGGTTAAACTTATTCTTTGAAACCAAATGTGGTAGAGGAAAAAACTCAGATGTATTCTTTGTGGACGCAATAAAAAGACTAATACAAGTTTTTAAGTGTGTATATATAAAATTATCACTAGTAAATTTGTAATATGTAAAATTATATATAATAAAAGTTAATGTTTCTCACTTAACTATATATTATATTTCTCACTTTATTATATTATAAAGTTTCTATTTAGGCCAGATTTATAATACTGTTTATTGCATTGCAAAAAAAAAAAAAAAGTAAAATACAATTTAGTAAATACAATTTTGAAAGTATTTTTTTATAATATTATATTTCTCACTTTATTATATTATAAATAAATTTTCTAGGCCAGATTTATAATACTGTTTATTGCATTGCAAAAAAAAAAAAAAGTAAAATACAATTTAGTAAATACAATTTTGAAAGTATTTTTATATAATAAAAAAATAATGGTTCTGACTTATTAAAAAATTTTCTTATTACTAATATACATTTTATATTATATTATATAACATCACTAATCCTCAAACCCTTGTAAGTGTCAGTATATTTCGTGTGTGTGTGTGTGTGTGTGTTTTGTACCGCTGGTTGCGGGTTGCTGAATTCGTTCAAGGCTAGTTTGTTCTCCTCTCCTGATCCAGACTCGCTGTACTGACCCGCTCTCATCATCTCTCTCCACGACTGACCGCTGTTTCTCCCGCTCTGAAACACACACACACACACCCACCCACCCACCAGAGGTAAGAAATCACATGACAAACACATGAGCGAATCCCACAATCCTCACAGCTGGAGCTCTGCGAACCCTGACCGAGAAGTACAGCATCTCATTAAAACATGCTACTTTTGCATTTATTCACATTTGCATTCATGCATTTGGCAGATGCATTTATTTTGCATTGCATTTAAGGTGTATATTATCATGCATTCACTGTGAATCGAGCCCATGACCTTGCTGTTGCAATCATCATGGTCTCCTACAGTAGGACACTTTTCTCTTCTCTGATGCTCTCGGTATGAGATCAGGGTAACACTGTGATCACATGACTGTCTCGTGGGTCACTGACTCACCCGGATCATCTTGTATCCGCCCCGTCGACGGTAATACCAGCAGCCCAGGATGAGCAGCGCTGTGAGGATCACTGCCAGTAAGGCGATTCCTGCGGCCCTGCATATAAACACAAACACACACCGATTAGATGAAGAGTCTGTAGCTTGCTGCAGGTGTTTGAAAGTGTTTGAGTGAATCTTCACACACTCTTCAGCTCTGATGAGTCCTGCTCCACCTCTGCTGGAGAAATGAACACTGAATTCACCTCGAGAACCTGAACCTGATCCGCCGTAAGACATGATGAACAAACCACCTGAAACTACAGAACACTGAATTATGACAAACTACGGTGATTTACTACAGCACATTTCAGCTGTAATATAATATGGATTTATAAATGCAAAGGTGAATCTCTTGAACACATGTCCAAGTCTAAATCCACACCCAATTCAAAAGAAAAAATAAGATATTCTTTGCATGAAAATGAAGTGTGCTTTCAGTAACAGTAATTGTGACATTATTATGAAAACTACATTTTTAATTTCACAATAATAATAATAATATAATGTTTAATTTATATAGCGTCTTTCCCAAGCTCAAGGACGCTTTACAAGGTACACCAAAGCAGCAAATACTGATTACAAAGAAACAATTTCATTGGACATTTGCCCAATTCAGTTACAAATAATGCAGTTGCATATAACACAGATTATGTAGAAAAGACAGAAATAGAAAAACAAAACAGACAAATACACAATGTAAATTAGTGATAGTGTTGATTAAACAAATAAGTTTTAAGCTTTGATTTGAATTCACTGAAAGAGGTGACTGTTCTGAGTGCCAGGGGAAGTGAATTCCAAAGTTTGGGTGCAGTAACAGAGAAGGACCTGCCGCCCATTGAAGATAGGCGGAACCTAGGTACACAAAGAAGTTCAGAATTAGAAGACCGGAGTGCGCGAGAAGGTATATAAGAAGAAAGTAGGTCGGAAAGATAGGAGGGAGCAAGACCTTTGAGTGCCTTAAAGGTGAGCAGAAGAATTTTGTATTGCACACGAATAGATACAGGCAACCAGTGAAGATTAAATAGAATAGGGGTGATGTGAGCAGATTTTTTTGTGGAAGTTAATAATCTGGCAGCAGAATTTTGAATGTAATTTATATAGCGCCTTTCCCAAGCTCAAGGACGCTCTACAAGGTACACCAAAGCAGCAAATATTGATTACAAAGAAACAATTTCATTGGACATTTGCCCAATTCAGTTACAAATAATGCAGTTGCATATAACACAGATTATGTAGAAAAGACAGAAATAGAAAAACAAAACAGACAAATACACAATGTAAATTAGTGATAGTGTTGATTAAACAAATAAGTTTTAAGTTTTAATTGTAATAATTACAATAGAAATAAGAGGGGTTTTTTTTGCATGAAAACTGAGCATGGTTTCAGTACCATTAATGTTTTTTAATTGTCACATTATTGTCATGATAATTCAGTTATCATGTAAATCAATTATGTCAGTTATCAAATAATTTCACTGCGAATCCAAAAGAAAATTATTAAATTATATTTTGCATGAAAATTAAGTATGCTTGTTGTACCATTAATACAGTGTTTTTTTTTTTATTGTGACATTATTTTCATGATAATACAATTTTAATACTAATTATTGTAATATAGTAAGATTTTACAGTAAAAAAAAGACACGTTTTTGAAATATGCATAAATTAAAGGCAGTACAATTAATACTACCATGATGTAAAAATAATGCAATTTAAATATTTTGTAACATAATAAAGGAGAATTTGAGGTGTTGAATAATGTCACAATGCAAAGACGAAAAAAATAAAATTATTCTAAATGTATTTCTTTTCCAAAGTGTATCTGCAAAATGTATTTCTTAATTATTATTATTTATTATTATTATTATTTTATTTTTTTTTTTTTGTGGTAAATTATGACCTGGACATGTTGAGTTTTTATTTTTTATTTATTTTTTTACTCCCAAACTAGTCATGGTTCCAGTTGCAAACTTGCATTTCTTGTATTTCATAACAACTCTATTTGATACACTTCTAATACGATGCTGCATTAATGTTAACCAGTATAACCATTCAGTGACTCTATGTAAAAAAAAAAAAAAACTAAAATTAGTTAAATTAGATGTTCATGCAGCAGATGCACTGAAACCTGATTTAAAGCCTGTCTCTTGTTAGTGTGTTAGTGGAAGTGCACGAGCTCTTACCTGAGTTGTCTAATGTGAGTCTGGAGAGCGTCTGCTGTGATTCTGATCTGTGTGTGATCCTCAAAGCTCTTGAGTAACTGATTTAGCGACGTACGAAGAACGGGCCCCTGGTCTTGATCCGCTTGTGTCTGGACTCTGTGATGTTGTGTGCTCTTGAGAAAATCTGAATCAGGCCCCTCTGGATCATCTGAGACTAGAAGTCACGAACATATATAGATTATTCCCATTGTTTTTGATTTATAGATTTTTAGTATTATCAAAATAATACATCAATTTAACAGTCACACATCTGTAAATATTTAATTCATCTGTGACTACAGAAAGTCTTGAATCTGTTTGATTGTATCACTTTATGACTGTGAAGACGATATCTTGCAAGATACATTTCATAATGAACAACACTTACAGTCTGGCCTTCTTCTCTCCATACTGTCACATCTAACAAGTCTCTGTCTGCTTTGCTCTCCAATGGTTTGTGTTTCATTTCTGGCCTCTTTTTCTCTCTTTCCTCTTGTTTTTTGCTCGTCTGTGGTTTCTGATGCTCCAGCAGCTTTCTGTGTGTGCTTTTTCATTTTCTCGTCCCATTTATACCTATTTAATCATGCAGACGACATAAATGGTGTAGTTACAGCTGGTGCCATTAATTAATCAAACATCAGTGCGTCAAATTCAGATGAAGTCATACAGTTTAAAAACTCTTGATGTTTGTGATATTTTAAAAACAGTCATATTTCATTACATGATGCTCTTCAGTGTTATCATATATTTCAGAGAGATGTGAGGTCCGAGGCTTACAGATGAAACATTGTATCAACTATAATAACAACTGCTCTGACGCCACACTTACTAACGGACTGAGAGTAAGTTGATTAAAGAAAGAGGTATTCACTTACTGACAGAAAGAAAACATCCAAAATATACTTTTAAGTGTTTCTTTTATTAAACTTTTATCTATATGCAGGATAAAAATTAACACTCGGCTTTGGCGAGTATATGAAACTGTGTCAGTCGCCAGATGGCCGGTAACATTTTTATAAATTCTAACAGTGCAGTGTAGTGAGAACATAAACGTGAACGACGCTCGTACAGTTGACGGTGCTGCTTCATCACAAAAGTTTAAGCCTTTGCAATGTAAATATTCAAGAGCTAGAACACACGAAAGGACACGCATTACTCATGCGCCTGGAAACCGCGTCTTGAGCTCTGCTTCCTTCCTGCACTTGAACCTACAAATTCACACAAAATTATGTAAAAATGCCCATCTCGGTGAGTATCCTAGTAAAGTAGTTGGTTCTTAAAGGTGCAATAGGTGATTGTCTTCAGAAACATTTTTTGTTGTGCTTGTTTAAAGTCTCTTCACATCCCAATAGCAATCATTAAGTTAAGTGGTCTAAATGTATTTATATATTCTGTGGAAGGCATAGGACCAAGAAATGTTCGTCCAATTAAAATGCTCGTTCCGAGCGTTTTAATTGGCTTTCCTACCTGCCTGTCAACATATGTATCTGCATACCTCTGCGCTCCCGGTTCTCGCAGACAGGATCGTCAATCGGCGCGTTAACGCACGCTACATACGCAGACAGAGCGAGAATGACAGACAAACATCAACAACCCCATCTTCCTTCCTGGTATTGTAGTACTTTTAAAGTTTTCTCACAGGTGAATGACACGTGATGTAGCCCAGCGGTTCCCAATTCCAGTCCTCGTGCACATATTTTGAATGTCTCGCTTAGTTAACACACCCGATTCAGATAACCAACTCGTTAGAAGTGAGCTATGTGCATGAACTGTGTTCCGATCGATATGATCCCTACACGGTGTTCATTGCTCCCTACTCCCTGAGCAGGGGAAATCAGCTGAAGTTGACTTTACTTCGAAACATTCATTCACGGATTTGCGCTGCGCAGCGTCTTCACACACAGACGTAACTTACTAGAGAAGTGTGAAATAATGTACCTCTGTAAATAAATACTATTTAAATTTACGTCTCACACACTTTAATGCCCCTTGTATGGAACATATACGCTCGAGGACTGGAATTGGGAACCGCTGATGTAGCCTATTGTAGTAATGTTGTCTCTGGTCTGTGAGTGTAAATGTGTTCGGGGGGCGTGGCTTCGGACGGCGAATGCAGGAAGGGTGGGACGTTCGCTTTCAGTGCTATCAGGCTAAAGTTAGCATTTTCCAAGATCTCCTACTGCACCTTTAAGTGAACATGAACAGCTGAGAAAGAAACCAAAAATTAACCGCTCGCGACGCTATGTGTCAAAAGACAATAGAACCCATTATAATCAGTGATATTGTCTACACAGGATGCGACCCAATAATCCTGCTGTTGTCTGCGTTTTTAATGTTGATCAAAGAAAATAGGACAAAGTTTTTCTCAAAACAATCACACAATTGAACTTTAAAAAATATATAAAGTCTATAGTGTTATTTGATTGGCATAATTTATTACATTTCTGTAGGCTACCTGAAAATCACTGTTAGACCTGCCTGAAATGCACCGTTTCTATTTGTATCTTTGTTGTATAGTAGGCTATTTTGTGCTATTGCTTGTAATTTGATTTGCTCTTATTTTACAACTGACTATTTACTAGTCTTTAAAATTGTAGCCTATTAAATTTATATTAGTTAAGCTAGTAGCAGGTATTGAAACTGGAATCAAGGATTGTGACTTTTTGCTATTATCTAAAATTTTGGTGTCATAACTGCCTGTTTTTTTTTTTTCCCATGGCTGGTAAGAAATATTTCTGGCTGGTAAATTTCCTTAAGTCACCGGCCATTGGCAGGTCTGGCAAAAAGTTAGTTTTAGGCCCTGTCTATATGTGTCTGTAGATTTCAATTGGATTTCAATCAAGATCTTTACGGCCATTTTTTTCAAAATTAGATTTTTCCACCTCCACTTCAGCATCACTAACACAGTCCAAACTTTACAGTTTTATTCCTATCTATTTTCTGAATGCTTTGACTGGGGGGTTTGTTCATATACAATTTGCCTGATTTTATACAACACTTTATTCTTAAAAAAAATAGTTTTTTTTTTTTGTAGATATTTTTCTGATTTATGTAGTAATAAAATCAAAATCAAACAAGAATTTTGAACTCTCCTTTATCCAATCAGATTTATGTGCTGGAAATGTATGCAAATGAGTGCATATGTAATTAGACAATGCCACATTTGCATATTTAAACATAACATTTCAAAAAACTTCTAATACAAAGAATGTTTCCCATTCTTAATGTAGTCCGTCAACTGGGGAAGTATGGTGATGTCCATTAGTGTAGTAACAATGTTGTCTCTGGTATTCTGGTCTGTCAGCGTATATGCGTTCAGGGGGCGTGGCTTCGGACGGCGATTGCAGGAAGGGTGGGACGTTCGCTTTCAGTGCTATCAGGCTAAAGTTAGCATTTTCCAAGATCTCCTACTGCACCTTTAAGTGAACATGAACAGCTGAGAAAGAAACCGGACACGAACTGCGCGTGATGCAATGTGTCAAAAGCAATAGAACCCATTATAATCAGTGATATTGTCTACACAGGATGCGACCCAATAATCCTGCTGTTGTCTGCGTTTTTAATGTTGATCAAAGAAAATAGGACAAAGTTTTTCTCAAAACAATCACACAATTGAACTTTAAAAAATATATAAAGTCTATAGTGTTATTTGATTGGCATAATTTATTACATTTCTGTAGGCTACCTGAAAATCACTGTAAGACCTGCCTGAAATGCCTCTGTGCTATTGCCTGTAATTTGATTTGCTCTTATTTTACAACTTACTATTTACTAGTCTTTAAAATTGTAGCCTATTAAATTTATATTAGTTAAGCTAGTAGCAGGTATTGAAACTGGAATCAAGGATTGTGACTTTTTGCTATTATCTAAAATTTTGGTGTCATAACTGCCTGTTTTTTTTTGTTTTTTTTTTCATGGCTGGTAAGAAATATTTCTGGCCGGTAAATTTCCTTAAGTCACCGGCCATTGGCAGGTCTGGCAAAAAGTTAGTTTTAGGCCCTGTCTATATGTGTCTGTAGATTTCAATTGGATTTCAATCAAGATCTTTACGGCCATTTTTTTCAAAATGAGATTTTTCCACCTCCACTTCAGCATCACTAACACAGTCCAAACTTTACAGTTTTATTCCTATCTATTTTCTGAATGCTTTGACTGGGGGGTTTGTTCATATACAATTTGCCTGATTTTATACAACACTTTATTCTTAAAAAAAATAGTTTTTTTTTTTTGTAGATATTTTTCTGATTTATGTAGTAATAAAATCAAAATCAAACAAGAATTTTGAACTCTCCTTTATCCAATCAGATTTATGTGCTGGAAATGTATGCAAATTAGTGCATATGTAATTAGACAATGCCACATTTGTATATTTAAACATAACATTTAAAAAAACTTCTAATACAAAAAATGTTTGCCATTCTTAATGTAGTCCGTCAACTGGGGAAGTATGGTGATGTCCATTAGTTAATTTAAAAAAAATTTTTTTTTTTTTTACTCAATTGTCTCAAATTAAAGATGAGTGTTTACTTGACATGACTACAATTGGAACAAAAGTAGTCCTTGTATTTATGAACTAACTGTGGAAAATATTAATAGATAGTATTGATCATAATTCCTAGACATAAAAAATCACATAGAATATCACAAAATGACTTCACTGAAAACAAACAGTGATGTTCAGATTAAAATAAAACAATTAAATACAACAGACAATGAAATATAAAATGGTTTTAATTACCTTGTGATGAGCTCAAATGAAGTATCCACTTCAGTTTTAAAACTGCTGCTGGGCTACTGTTGTTTTTAGGTGACTCAAAGGGTGGAATGCAAAAATAGTGACAGACTTTCTCTAAAAAGAATTTGAAATATGTTGGATGTGATTTGGTTGTGTTTGCATTTTTTCTAACATTTAGCACAAACGTTTTTTGTAGGTTCTTAAGTGCTGCTGTCAGGATGTATAATAATAATAATAATACTAATACACATAGCTTTAGGAACAAGTTTAATTTCTAGTCAGGGTCATGCACAGACCTAATTTAAATAATTATGTC